CCCATCCACCGGAAGGGGGATGGTGAACTGTCCGATGCACACCACGGGGACTTGAAGTTGTTCCCCGGTGGCGTTCATCTCCGTGCTACGTCCGGGATTGCTGGAAGAAGCCACGAGTGTTGGGATTTCTTGGAAAAAAAAAGGGGTTATGAGAGTTTTAGAGAGAGGCTTTTAGAAACATTTCCCACTGACGGCGCCAATTGATGGATCACAATCCAGCCGGTCCTATCTATCAACGATCTTACCTCTGGCTGGAGCAAAAGGTGCCTGAAACGGAGAAGAAAGCGAGTAATCTCCGGGGAAGAACCCAGTGAGAGTGCTCCGATGCTCAAGTTAGTATTTCCTCAAAAGCAAGGTAAAAACCAGATGGCGCAAAGTTATCACATACCTCCTTCTTGGGGGGAAGAGAGCCTTTTATAACCACTTCGCGCACTCACTCCCAAGTTCCTGTCAGGTCGGGTATCATTACCTCTGCACTTCTGCCAGTTCGGGTGTTATCACCTCTGCTGGGGCAGACAACCGCCACTGCTCTCTTTGTCGGAGCCGTCTCTGTGACTGGAGGTGGCGGTAGCAGGTGCCTGTTGAAGTGCGGCTATCAAGTGTCAGATCCTAAGTCAGTCAGATGCGCCGCCTCAGGATACGGACTCCTTTGGTGTCAGGTCAGGTACGGTTGTTCAGTTCGGCGTCCTGGAGCCGAAGTGATGGAGTGGTGTGCGAGGTGAAGTCTTGAGTTCGGATAGAGGTGTGGCCCGAACTGCCCTGGGGCGGGCCAGTTCGGGTTGTTCCCCTTTGCGCTCCTCGTAAGGCTCGGGGTCAAAGGAAGAGTTCGGGCTCCTTGTGGAGAGCTCGGACCGCTGGTTCTTCCTCTCGGAGCTCGCGCCTTGAGCATACTGTCGTGCCGAGCTGTTGCCTCTACCACGTGTTGAGTGGTCAAGAGGTCGGGCCAAATCTTCCTTCATCACTTACCACTCTGGCTGCACTAGTAGTAATTGAAAGGCCACCAAAGAAGAAAGATCCCCAGATAACAAAGAGTAAAACTATTGCTCCTGTGGCATTATGATACCTCCCATGAAATGCGTCATAAAGTATTTGGGCTGGTACAAATGCTCCAACAGTTTCGTTGTTTACATCATATAAGTAGCTTGGATCTTGGATTGAAAATAGCAATCTTGTATCAGATATGGAAAATAACAATTGGATATTAGTTCAGAAATAATACCTGAATRCTGAAAGTAAGAGCCAATATGTATGCCCATCCAAATAATGAAATGATCCCTATACTAGAAAAAATTGTAATTGGACCATTCTTGTCTGCACCCTTTGTTGTAGCTGTATACTAGAAATGATCCCATGAAACCAAAACATAATTAGTAGTTGTAGTTGGTTTGATCATTACTCAACCCCATGAATTGGCCAAAACAATCCCAACAAGTGTACTAACAAATCAGAGGAGAGAAATAATGGCATCCATTGTTATTACAACAGATCGAGAGAGGGTGTTTGGGTGTATTATTATTATTTTATTTTATTTATTTATTTTTGTGAGCAGATGTTTGGGTGTATTAGGAGCCAAGGTTTGATGGAAGTTGTATACACAGAAAGCTACTTTTTATCTATTATGGATTTCTTCTCCTCTGTCACTGGTGGATGTATGCTACAAGTCAAAATCACATAAATCTCTAGGTATAATACTGAGTTGATTTATTTTATATTTTCCTTTTATTTTCACCATTTACCCATTGATTTTAGATCTTGAATTTATCCTTGGGCAACAGAAAACAACTGAGATACAAGATCAAAGATAAAACAACAGAAGAGTACTGATCACTCTTATATGGCCAATGAGGATCCACAATTGGTTGTTATAGAAGTGTTGTTTATGGATAAATTTTAGAACAACTCAGAGGTAATATTCCCCGTTGGTGGGATCAAACTGATAATGAGTATTAGTGTATTACTTAAACTGGATGATCGATTAAATTAACATTTCATGAAACAAATAAAATGTATGGAGTAGCTAAGGAGATTCACTGATGATTAAAAAATAAGGGGGAAAGGGATGAGAAGGGAACAAGGATTCCAAAGAATGAGAATCTGCTTTAGCATATTGAACTAATCATATTGAACAAGGGTTCCAAAGAATGAATCGCAGAAAAAAATAGGAGCAGATCCCAACTATACTCACCGATTGCCTAGATCTAGTGTGAAAAACCGCTAATGGTAACAGTGAAGAAGTAGATCGATCCCAAAAAAGAGTAGGAGCAGATCTGCAAAAGAGAAAACCAGTCAGTTAGTGAAAAAAAAAAAGAAGGAAGAATGAGGAAGAGGAGAGGAAGAAGAAGATGGCGATGGAGTTTGGTTCAGCTTGTCGTTGATTTCGAAGAAGAAGGAGGAGAAGGAGGAGGATAATGGTTTAACAGTGGTCTTACCTCGCCGGAGGTTGGTTCGGCTCTCTGCTCGGCGATGGAAGATGGCAATGGAGTTCTCCCTGTTCGGCTCTCCCAAAATCTCTTCGATTGGATTGAAAATGAGGAGGGCATTTTTGTCAAAAGAATAAAAAAAGATATCCATATCCGGAATGGGAATCGCATTCCCTGGGGAGGGGTCGGGAATGGCCATTCCCCCATACGAGGGATTCCCATTCCGCCTAGAATGGGAATGGAATTCCGATTCCGGACCCCTATTCCTGTGAACCAAACGCACCCTTATTTTCTCCCCTGAAATATTTTCGAATTTTTTCAGTTCTTTCACTTTTTTCACCCGAGAGGGAGTGCTTTGCACATTATTAGGCAATCATCAGCAAAAAGAAGATGACTAATAGCAGTATCTCCTCTACAGATTTTGATTCCTTGTAATTCCTTGTTCAGTTCTGCTTTTTCAATGAGACTAGACAGAGCTTGCATCCCTATTATAAACAAATAGGGCGATAGAGGATCCCCTTGTCTAATCCCATTATTCAGTTGGAAATACTCTTTTTGTGTGCCATTTATTTTGATAGAGAATGAGGGAGTATTTATACAAGTTTCAACTAATTGGCACCATTTATCTGTGAACCCCATCTCCTTCAGCATTTTGCTAATGAAATCCCTTTTCATTCTATCATAAGCACTTGACATGTCGATTTTCAAAACCACCCAACCTACTCCCTTTCTCTGTTTTCTTAGTTTATGGACAACTTCCTTTGCCACCAGAATGTTATCAACACCTTGTCTCCCTTTTATAAATGTTGATTGGTTTAGGGCAATTATTTTATCAAGGAGAGGTTGCATTCTTAGGACCAGAATTTTGGCAATAATTTTGTATAGAACATTGCAAACACTTATGGGTCTGTATTGTTGGATTTTTTCTGGGTTTTTGGTCTTGGGGATATAGACAAGGTTAGTGGAGTTCAGATTTGGTGGCATTTGGCCTGAAGTGAAAAACTCCCTAACAAATTTGCAAATGTCCTCTTTTAATAGCCCCCAGTACCTTTGGTAAAAGAACGGAGTAAAGCCATCTAGTCCTGGTGCTGAGTAGGCTCTCATGGATTTAACAACTCCCTCAATTTCCTCATCCGATGGTAATCTTGTTAAATTGGCAGCCTCGGCTTCTGAAATTTTGCTTTGAACCAGATCATGCAATTCAACATCCTCCTCTGACTGGGGTCCCACTTATCGAAATTGCATGTTCTTTAAAAGCTAGTGCAATCTCTTCCAATGTTAGATTTTTCCCCTCTTCATTTTTTATAAAACTCTAGTGAGTTTCTGTTCCATTTAAACTTTGTCATCTGGTGGAAATACCTTGTGTTTCTATCACCCTCCCTAAGCCAGAGCTCTCTAGATTTCAGCCTCCAGAGTTGTTCTTCCCTTCTCAGCCACCTTTCATACTCTCTTCTCAGGACCATTTTTCTTGTGATGTCGCTGGATTCCCCCATTTCTTCCATTTTCAGAATTTCTTCCTCTATTTCTTTTAATTTCTCTTCAATTCTTCCAAATCTCTCTCTATTCCACCTAACAAGCCTTTCTTTGCATTTTTTTAACTTCTGACACACACCTCCTGGATTATTTCTTAATTGCCACTCTTCTTTAACAATATCATTGCATTCCTCCTCCTCGGCCCACATAGGTAGAAAGTGAAACTGCTTAGGGCCAGAAGTTATATGTGGGTTCGTGTCAGCAAGGAGAATTGCATGGTCTGAGAAGATATTTTTGTAAGTTCTAATTTTAGCATCCGGGAATCTTTCATGCCACCAAGGGGTTGCCAAACCCTTATCTAATTTTCCTTTTACATGTAGCCGTCCTTTTTTCCCATTTGACCAGGTGTACTTAACCCCCTTTGTTTCAATCTCAAGAAGAGCATATACTCTTGGATTAAATTGTTTAGGTGTTTGGAGGTTTGGCACGGTCTGGTACTATATCCTTGATAATCTTGGGCTTCTGTCATGTCGTTTAAATCACCCACCATCATCCAATTGTCTTTATTCCCAATGAACTCTTTGAATTCCCTCCAATAGTTGGCTCTTTTAGTTTTGTTTGGGTGACCATACACTAAACATATCTACCAAGGAGACTCTGATGGTCCATTTTTTATGTTCAGAATGATATTTTTCTCTGTAATTGTGACGATTTCAATGAACATGCCTGTCTTCCAATAACACATTAACCCTCTTGCTAAACCCTTTGCTTCTATTCCGCATCCCTCTCCGTAACCTAGAGTCTTCCCAAGTTTTTCCATTTTTTGATATTCCGCTTTAGTTTCCAATAGGAAAACTAAGTCTGGATTTTTCTCTTTTATTTGTTTTTTCAAATATCGTTTTTTGTGTGGGTCATTGCACCCACGTATGTTCCAGATCAAAAACCTCATTTCAGTATTTTCAGCTATGAGCTTGGATAGTAAACGAGGGTATTAGAAAAACACAGGTGCAATAAAAACAGGCACAATCAGTATAGGAAACAGACCAAAGATCGACAGTAGACGCAGATAGATGACTCACCTGACAGTGGTTGTAGAAAGGCAGTACCGCAAGTAGTAGTTCACTCCCCGCAGGGGAAAGGTTCTCAAACGTTTCTTCCCAAGGGAAAACCCCGCTAGTGTCTTTCTTTGCAGGTTTGTGGCCTGACGATGAGGGAGTATAAGGATCCAAAGGCAATTTGCTGATGACGGTCTCCTGAGACTTCTCCTTAATAAGTTGTGGTTCCAGTTCCTGCATTTGGAAAGCCGCCCATCCGTCTTCTGGTTCAAGAATTAAAGTTCTAGAGAGTGGAATAGGAATTTTACTCTGGACTCCTTCCGTTGTTTGTATGTGTATCATGTTACTAGCCACGTGCACTAGTGCTCTCGACTTAGGGTCAAAATATGTCTTCCTTGGTTGACCATGGGGGATGGTTGTGAACTGTGGTTACGGTTCCAACCAATTGATTTTTCATTTTTGCATTTTAGAATAGGACATAATTATCGGGAGAAACAATTCTTTGATTTTTGAAAGAGGCGCCACCTAATACAGTGGATCCCTCCCTATTTATTTTATGGAAAGTTACATTTTAGTACCCTCAAAATTGGGGGTAGTGTCAAGTTACTATCTACATTTTCAAACGTGTCATGTAGAATCCAAACTTTCAAAAGGTGTCAATTTAGTCTCTAACGTCAATTATTTTATTAAGTGATGGTATGTACAACTTAAAATTTTTCAAAATGTCAAAATTATTCTTAAAAACAAAACATTATTCATTGTCGTCTACCTTAAGACTCATAATAACATTGAGCCATCGCATGATATCCTCAATACCATATCGAAGGATATTCTCCATTTCAGATAGCAATGGAAAACTACTACTACTACGGGGGAAGAAAGAGAAGGGTACTTTGAATTGAAGAGGGTTCTTATACAGGGCACTCAGTGGGTTAACTCGTCATTACGAGTCTGGCAACGAGGATGACGAAGTGATACTAATGAATGCAGTGTATGGGGAGGGAACGTCCCCATGCACATACCAATCATAAATTCCAAAAGCAATGCCTTTGATTTTGTGATGGCATTGGATGGTTTGAAGGTCATGGTGAGATGGGTTTCCGTTGTTATTCACATACCAATCATCCTCAAGCATGGACTTTAACATAAACAGAGAGCCCATCTCATCTTTATTGTCTACTCCTCCTCCTCCGACATTTTTTGTCCATAAAACATCATCTTTTTCTCTCATGGTTCCTTAGGAATGGCAACGGGATGGGTTTGGGGCAGGGATCATATTCACCATCCTTGACCTCGATTCTGAAATTAACCCCCATCCTTATTAGGGATAAAATTGTCCTCCATCCCCGATCCTCGATGGGGATGGGTTCCCCGTGGGGACCCGAGTCCCCAAATTTTTTAGATAAAATTATTTTTTGAAAAATAAATAAAAAGTTTAAATTATAAATGATGTTTTAAATATGTTTTGATATTATATATATATATATATATATAGTTGTGGTTGGGGCGGGGAAGGGACCTCAATCCCCATTCCCAACCTCGACCCCAACCCCCGATTGGGGATTCCTATTAATCCCCATCCCCGACCCAATGACGCCATTAACCCTTGATAGCATTTCTCCTCAGCTTTTCTTCTTCGGCTAGGTTCATTGACATATTTAAAAGAAGAAGAAGAAAAACAAGTCCATGCTCTGAGAAAAAACAAGATGTAGAGGGAAAAGGAAGATGATGTTCTTTGGGGCTACACTGAGGGAAAAGTAAAATATATTTACTGCCACAAAAGTGAAGAAGAACAAAATATAGAAGGAAAAGGAAAATAGCTTTTTCAAAACATCATTTGGGGGAGAGACGAGTAGTAGATATAGCTCTAAGTCAGAGCGTTTCTCTGAGACCTCTCTGTGGCTTATCTATCCCTGTAGCGTGGTTATTTGATTGATCATTAGTTGTTTGCTCAGGGGTTCATCAAGACGGGCATCAGTGATAGGATTGCGACTTCATTAAGTGGCTTGGAAAAAGTTCGTTGGGATTGTCTTATGGTTTGACGCTTAATGAAGCGCTTATTGCTCTGACGGTGCCGAATGCAACTGCAAGAGTTGGAGGAGTGTTCTTGCCTGATTATTAAGCTGCTGTCTCATTGAAAGCCTTCAAATGAGCATGGTTTTAAAAGGCGGCTGAGGTAAGGCGGCCAAATTTCGCCTAGCCTCAGTAGTCTCAATCTCAGAGCAAGGGGCATAAGCCTCAGTTTTAGTGAGGCATAGGCCTTTGGCCTTTGGCCTTTCGCCTCAATTTATTTGAGGTGGTAGCCTTAAGTTAAAGGGTTTTTGGGTGGGAAATTTTGGATTTTAGTATGGGCAAATTTGGAAAAAAGTAAAAACCCCAAAATTAGGGTTTTTGATGACCAAAATCCCATTTCTCAGTTTTTGTTTTTCAATCGAACTCAAGAAGACTGAACACATTTCTCTTCTACTGTTTTATCTTCTATGTTCTACTTCTTAGGCCAAGCTCAAGATTCAAAAAGACAAGAATATTTGATGAAATCAAATCGTGTGACTGCATACAAGTCCTCCTCCTCCTTCTTCTTATTGAATCTTGTGTACAGGTTTTCCTCCTTTTCACCTTTTTCTTTTTTTTTTTTGTCACAAACTATCAGCTAGGTGGGGCAGCAAATTTGTGGGAGGTCAGAGACTTAGAAGTGCTGGCGTGCTACTTTCTTTTAATTTCACTTTCGGATAGTAAGTGTTGTGATAACTGATAACTAATGAGGTGCTTGGATACATGTTGCCATGTTGTCATAAACTCATAATATAATATTGAATCTGGATCCGTTTTGCCATCTTCCCTGAGTAGCTCTTGTCACAACCATCAATGATGTTTTATCATGACAGCCACGAAAATGAATCTAATTCATTTCAAGATTTGTTTGAAACTTTAAAAAAGATTTGAACAATCAACAATTATTGAACCACTGATACATTAAGTGACAAATAATTATATAAAACTTTCATTATTTATTTTTTCATAATTTTTAAGTTTTTAATTCAAGACTTACGCCTCAAACTGCTAAAATCTTGTGAAAGAGACAAAGAAGGGAATCCTCAGAGAGAGATAGAGATAGAGGTGGACTGAGATGCCGAGAGATAATTTGAAGGTGACTGAAAGGTTTTAGGAGAAAAAATGTGGAGAAAAATAGTGGGAGAATGAGAAGGGCTTCTGTTGATTCAATATTGAATTGGGATACGTCTTCGGCGGAGAGAAGTGCTTTTGCTTGGACTTAGAATTTTCTAGATGGTTTTGATTAATTTGATAGTATAGACGTATAGTAGGGATTGCATATCTATGACGACTAACCATAGACGTATACATGCCAAGGGCGTCTGCATCCTTTTGGTGCGTGAGAGTATGAAAGTGGAGGAAATAGCGAACACAGAACACAAAGACAGTAGAGATTGGGGGAATGCATGACTCTATCCAAACGTCCTCCATCTGATGAACGTTTGCTGGTGTTCGATGTGTAGTGGTAGAAAAGTAGCTAGAAATAGCTAGGTGAGGCCACTATGTTACAGGGTAGATTTGCAGTGGAAGAAACCCGTGTGGCATTCAAGCCATGTGCGGCCCGACGAATGGCTCCATCAAGGTCAATGGCACTGGATCATAACCTCATTGTGCATGGCTGGAGCTATCTGTGGCTCTTGTTGGTCCATGGGAGGTGCCACTTACATGCCAAAGGGGGAAGGCCATAATGTGAAGCAACTGTGGTGCCAATGATGTGAGGCACATGTTGTGTTGATGATGAAAGGCAACCACTGGGCTTGAGCACACCCGTGTGCTGTGGGCATTGGGGTAGCTCGAATAGCTTAGGCATGGGGCTGACGAGGTGTAGGGACTTGCTTAGGCCAGATCTGCATGGAAAACATCCCCTTGATGTGCTTTGCGCAGTGTTGGTCTATGCACTATCCCCATGAACGTGTGTATGCCTATGAGGAACCTTGGTAGCCATGCTAGCCATTAACCAGGGCCACCTCACAAGGGAGTTTTGGTCTAGGAGTGCCAATAATAGGCACCCAAGGTGGTCGACCACCCCTCCTCAAAGAGTACGTTAAACTTTTAGTGGTCTGCCAATAGGAACATCATTTTTTTTTTGAAAATTCATACTAATATATTTACAGTATTACCACTCAATGTAAGCCTGCCAAGTGTAAATAAGATTAAGTCTATGTTAGACCATGACAACTAGGTAGAACGTATACATTGTACATGTTAGATGAACAAGGGAATTTAGAGTAGTAAAGAATGAAAAGCATGTTAAATACATGAAAAAGGGCATTTTCGTTGTTTTATATGATACTTAACGTTTTGAACCAATTTGACATTTTTTCAAAATTTGAGTACTACAGTCATATATTTAAAAATTCGGTACTAACTCAACACTACACTAAATTGAAAATTAAGATTTTCTACCAACAAAATACATTTCAATTATCTACATCTTAAGAGTTAAGATTTTCTATCGATAAAATACATTCCAACCCTCTACCAATTTAATCTAACACGGCATATCTCATCATAAATCTGAGACCCACTATAAAAGTGGGATCCACTATGTATGAAATGTGTGATGTAATATCATGTTGGTAGAGGGCTGGAACGGATGATTCAGACTCTCGAATTGAGTAATGAAATGGAATTTTCCACTTATTTTAAGATTTTATGCAGTAGTAGTGGCTCCCACAAAACGAACGATCCTGGCTCTGGGTTCTTTGCAATTGCATGATGCAGAGAATCCACCACGTTTTTATCAAGAACAGATGGTGCGATTGACGGTTGGTTAGCGAAGACTTAAGGCAGTATCCATGTGGAATGTGTTGGTGTGTGCATTTCTCTAATTACCTATGCCATGTCATGTGTTGGTTGGTAATACCAACAAATACTCCGTATTCGCAGTAATTACATTGTCCTTTTGCAACTTGCAACCTGCAAGAGAAATCCTGTTACCAAAAATCTCCCTATTCCCTTATTCACAGTAACAAATCCTTCCAGGGGCATTTCTAGTAATTTCGTTTCAAATCGGCGCCCAGAATTCAATTTCCCTTCCTTTACTGTGTGCTCTCTACTTAAAGGTGCCAACCCACTAGCCGTCCTAACCAGTTCAGCTGCTTCAACATTTGGTTTTGCTACTTCTTGTAAACCAAACAAGGTTCGAATTCGATCTTCTCTTCATTTTGAGAAATGTTATTAATTAATATGATTAATTTTTCGGTATAATTTGGACTTCCTTCTTTGATGGTGTTTCCATTTGTTTGGATTTCTTCTCTTTTATTCGTTGTCGTTCCACTTGTAATTGTTTCTCTCCTGGTTAACTATTCGTCATCGTTGGTCGTTGCTTCGGCACTCGCATTTTTTCTAATTTTCTTGGTTAAGAACACTCAGCTGGCATCAAATTTGGTATTTATCTATAAAGCAGAATGCTTTTAACTACTGAACTCTGACTTTTGATCAGAATGGTCTCTAGAAGATGGTTTGGAATAACTCATGCAACAAATTTTCCCTCTCCTATGTCTACATACAGTTATACACTTCATTGCCAACTAGTTTTCAGATCGTCAAGTTTATATCTGGCTATAAAGATTATTTGTGCTGTTGGACGAGTGTTGATCTTTTTAGTGGAAGAAGAAATGCTAGAAGGAAAGGAGTTATTACTCTACTCGATGAAATAAAAGTGTCTTGAGCTTTTATAATTATTTTCATTATTTCATTTTTTGGGCTTTTAATTCGGGAGGACTCTTCTCTTGTTCTTCTTTCTTTAACGCTGTCGATGATAAACCATTCGGCTTTCCTGGATAAGCCATCTTGTCCAGGCCTGTTCACTTTAGTTGGGAAGTGGTGTGTGTAAATCAATTCCTGCAATATGCCAACTTGGGAGTTGTCTCCTCTAATGTGCATCGTCGGGATTTTGCCACAATATTTTGAAACTACTTCGTGCCGCTCCGTTTATTGGAGTAGTGGCTGTTTTTGACGACATATTTGACATTTGGATCTCTTTGAGATCAACTTCATCTTGCCTCCTAATAGGTGGGAAAAGATACATATCTGTGAGGCCAGAAACTCCAGAATGTTTTCTACCAGCCCAGGGGTGTCAGAGGAGATTATCTTTAACCCTGTCACGGGCAGAGTTGCCCGTTGGATGCTAATGGGGTAGGAGTTTAAGATTTTAACTGGACTTTATTGCTTGGTGGTGGCAGGCTATAACGAGCTCTTTTATCAGCAGGCTCGGACCTTCCAGGAGCGAACCCATCCATCCGGAGCGCTACTAAGCTCAAATTTGGTGTTCTCTTGGTGACCTTGGTTCTTTTTGGTAAAAGGAATATAGAATCAAATGAGACTCCTCTTGGGCTCATCCTTGGTAATTATGGTCAATTATAGTCCAATAGAAAAGGAGAGCTCCATCAGAGAAAAGCTTTTTGAACTCCTTTATCTTGGGTTTTCAGAGGGTTGAGGTGGATGGGAAACCTAGGCTGTTATTGGTCAACTACACTTGTTTCAGACCTTCAGTGGTGTACGGACCTTGTGTTTGAGACATTCGTTAGGGAGGTAGGTGGCTTGGCTTCCAGGGTGAACACCTCATTCACACGGATTCCAAAGTCCATTAACTCAGTGGCAGATAGCCTAGCCAAGTGAAGTTTAAAATAGTGGCCTGATGTTCCTGGACAGCTTGTTTTAGTGTAATTATTGTTTTAGGTTTTCTTATATTTTCCTCTTCAGAGTCATCCCTTTGTATCCCAACTTTGATTTTTTTTTGTGTGTGTGGTTTTGTGTTTCTACTCCCTCTTTTATCCTTATTATTATTCTTGTAAGGATTAATTAGAAAAGAATACTAACGGATAATAGAAAGGAAGAGAAAGAAAGAACTCCCATTCTCACTGGTGGAGCTATGGGGTTTCAGTTTTATGACCAAAACATCTGAATGGACTTCTTTTTATCTTGTTAGCTGTTTAGAATGTCCCTCGGTTCCTACTGATGGCTTATTTTGTTTTAAGGGCTTCTTTTTTATCAGTTGACTGTAAAGCTTTATTTATATGTTTTAAAAAATAGTGTGTACAAAGTGGCGTGCCAGGAACACTCCATCATTTTAGCTGTTTAGAATGTCCCTAGGTTCCTATTGATGGTTTATTTTGTTTTAAGGGCTTCTTTTGTATCAGTTAACTGTAAAGTTTTATTTATATGTTTTAAAAAATAGTGTGTACAAAGTGGTGTGCCAGGAACACTCCATTATTTTGCCTAGTTTTACTAGCCACCCATTAGAATTTTATACAAGTTCCTTGTAGGACAAACCCCAGAATAATTGTTCCTTAGTAGCTCATTGTTTGTTTCGGGGCTTCTTACATTAAAATCATTTTTACCTGCTTTCATTACTGATCCTAGTCTAAGAGAAGAGAAAGATACAATTAAGTGATTTTCTTCTAACAACATTTTCCCCTCTTCTCCGCAGGTCTTCATCTTTTCAAAGTTGAATTTGGGCAGTGGTATTCATTGTGTCAATTACAAGGAGGGATTAATAGTATTATTACTGTATTCTGACCTCCTTTTGATACTAATTTGAAGTAATGATTGTCTCTGCTCTTTTAACTTCTGTGGGAATCAATCTTGGCCTTTGCATTTTATTTTTCACATTATATTCCATACTGAGGAAGCAGCCAAGTAATGCTAATGTGTATGGACCACGCTTGGTAGCTGAAGGAAAATCTCAGCAAAATAGTTGTTCCAACATAGAGAGGTTATTGCCTTCTCCTGGTTGGGTAAGAAGGGCATGGCAACTTTCAGAGGAGGAAATCTTGTCAACAACAGGCTTGGATGCTGTGGTCTTAATGCGTATTTTCATATTCAGGTAGCTTTATATTTCTCCAATCATTGTAGCTTACAATTTAGCGAGTAATTTTTTGCTTGCATTAGTGGAAAGAATCATAAAATGCACATATATGAAAATTTTGAAGAAAAATACTTTGATATGGGAAAATGTGAGGCCAGGCTTGAGGAGTATCATTTAGTGTACCTTCTGGATTGGGTACATATTGAACCCCACCTTCTGGATTAGCCACATGTTTTGATTTCCTAGTTGACATCAGCCATGTACCCCACCTTGTATTGGTGGTTTCTCAACTAATATTAGCAATGCAAAGTTTTAATTTTTAATATAAAACTTTGCCTCTAAAAAGGGATTATTTTGAAAAAGTAGCAAAATGTTCTGGGCTGAAATTTATTCCTTTATATAGGTTGAGGAGAGGAACATGAACAATCCTATTAGATCCTTAACTCATTTGCCTCCTTTGCATAGAAAGTGGTCTGAATTCTTTCCACTTACTAATCTCCTTTAACATTTGATGGCTGCAGCATTGGGAATCTCAGGTACTGGCCAGTAAGGAATTGATGGTGTTTCCAGAAATGAAGGAAATATTTTGGCACTTTATTCAGGACCTATAGGCATGGTTCAAAGTATCGATACGATACGCCCGATACAGGGGCGTATCGTATCGTATCTTTTGAAAACGATACGGTCCGAAACAGCCCCCCAATTTCTTTTAATAATAAAAAACACGTTTTAAGCTTCCTAAAAAACCAAACTTTGAAAAAAAAACTAAAAACATATATATGTTTTGGCCGTTTCTAAGTACCGATACGATACGGCCGAAATGCGTATCGTATTGATACTTTGAACCTTGCCTATAGGGATAGGAGGCTCTACCTTGGTAGAAGTCTATGCAGCCCTCCAAGGCCTTGGGAGGGCCAAATTGTTAAGTTTCAGGAATGTTATTGTTGAAGGTGACTCAGGGGTGGTAACTGGTTGGCTTAGGAGTAATAAGAAGGGTCAATGGAAATATAGACATATCATAAGAGAATTGCAGCAGCTAATTCAATTGGATACCTAGTAACCTATATCAGCAAATGGTTTAGTAGATGTGCTGGCAAGGAAAGGGGTGGGCATAGATTGAGAAGTCTTGAAGTTTTGGGTGGGCAGAGAGCATTTTTATTGGGTATGATCAAGTAAAGGGAATTTAATTGTAATCTCAAAATCTTGGGTGGTTAGCTGAGGCTAACCACTTTCTGCACTTTTATGTATCAGTTTCTGACTTTCAGTAATAAAACTTCTGTAATCCATCTTAAAAAAGATTTCTTGGTTGTGTAGGGAGCTTTCCTAAACAACCCAACTAGTTAATAAGCGAAGATAAGATATCTCACATGACATACTGTCTCTTCAAAAATATATAAGTATGAAAATGCATGTATTCAACATCTCTGCCTAGTTTCTATCATATCTTGGAATTTCATTTAATAGAAGCTCCCAATCTATGTTAAGAGGGTATACATGCCTGGAGTAGCATTGCTGAATGTCCTTTGATTGCAATTCTCCAAGTTAACATAAAGTCTGATTTTGTAAGTAAAACAGGATAAATGTAAAGCTGAGATCACCTTGTAGATTTCTATAATGAATTTGTGACTGCTAATGTGTGTATACACACATTTTTATGTATATACCAATTACTGAAACAAATATGTAGACTATTAAGACTTAAATAATGAACTTTATTTCTGGAAATATCTATTTATTATCCCTGCATTGTAGAACAATTCCTGGTTAAGGTTTCACATGATTAAGCTAATGTCATGAATGTGAACTTGAGAGTGAAAAGCATTATCAAGTTATAAGTTGGAAATTGGGAGTCTTTTTGTTGCATGACTCAAAAGCTTGTGACATGAACTAGATGGAAGTGCTGTCAACCTCTAGGAAGATAATGAGATATGATGTACTTTTGTATTTGTTTTCTGTTATAAAGCATTACAGCCCTATATCTAAATTTCTTGGATGTTCCATGCTTAAGAATCAGAGATTAATCTTTATCAGCAGACAGTTAGTTTTCATGATATGCTTTTTTTTTTTTAAATTTTCTAGAGTATTATCTTAATTTCAACATTAGTTGGAATTATGTATTGAAGTTCCTTTCTCGATTTTAATTTGTGATACTATTTAATCTACAACTTTGTGTCATCATATATAATATGCCTACTAATATGATTTTACCATACACTTATTTTCTATTTCCATAATCTTTGCGAACAAGCTCCAGGCTATCATCTGATTATTCATTTGATTACTGTTAGGGTGGTTCATTGGATTACAGGTGAGATATGGACTTCTGGGAATTTATTTTGACTTGGTTGTCAGGGTTGGCAAGTTGTTGCAAGATCATTATCTCATGGACATGAGGAATTCAGGATTAATTCCCTCATGGTTCTTTGACTTTTGTCAAATTAAGTTTTGACAACCTCTCTTTTGGGAATCCTGGTCAGTCAGGTGTTGGAGGGCCCTTCAGAGGTCCTACAGGTTGTAGGTTTGTTTCTAGTCTGATTTGATGATGAACTGCTATTTTAGACCGTTTGGTGATTGTTGTTTTAGTTAAGCTTTGGATCCCAAGGTCATTGAACTTGACTTGACATTGCTTGGATAGCAGTGGGCCAATAGGTTTGTCTTTTATGTGGGAATCCGGATCCCAAACTAATTTTTGTTTTGTTCCATTATTGGTTAAGCCCTTTTTTTGCATCATGATATCATCCATTTATACAGTTCATTCAGATGGATCTCAAGGCCAGTTGACTTGATGGTGGATAGCTTGGCTGGCAATGGAGTTCATAGGTTGCCTTGCATGTGGGATTCAAGATAATGAGCTAATCTTTGTATTGTCTCTTAAGCAGGGATTTTTCATTATTTTTTCCTTTTCTCCATTTCTATCTAGTTTTGGTCAGTTTTGTGTTTTATTGCTCTTTCTCTTGCTGGTTATCCTTGGGGAATTGGGGGGGGGGGGTGGCTTGTATATCTTCTACTCTTATTTCTCTTAACACAATTTTAAGGTTACTGAAAAAAAGGAACTGGTCTTTTCCAGAATCATACAGTATTTCTTTTGCTTGTCTTTAATGGAAGAGATGAGGTGCTATCTGCTATGCTGGCTTATACTCATCAAGCCTGTCTTCTTGTTTGCAGTTTAAGGGTGTTTTCTTGTGGTGGCATTGTGGGAATTCTCATTCTTCTTCCAGTGAACTATGTGGGTAATCAACTAAGTGATATCGATTTTTCTGATTTGCCAAATAAGTCTTTGGACATATTCAGCATCTCTAATGTAAATAATGGATCAAAAAGGTAAATAAAGCTAAACCTTTGATCTTGATGCCTTTTCACGGTGGTTTGATTGTATACTGACAGTGATTTTTGTTAATTCTTGGAGTTGAATGTCATGATTCAAGTTATTATTAGCATATCCTGCTTTGTTTGTTTTGTATACCTTTCATATTTTTCACTTATATAAGACTGTTTATGTTGCTGTTTTCAATTTATCTTAATGAAAAATGTAAATGAAATTTAATCTACTTTATCTGAACTGTGTCCACATCATCTACCTATAGGATAGAGATGATTTAGTACATCTGAGAATGTGATGTGTTTTATTGCCAAAACTATAAAACCAACACAAGATAGCAACTGAGCGTTTTGTTACCAGAAACATTTATATAGATTGTTTGTAGGAGTTGAAGAAATAGCATCCCAGTCTGCATAAAAAAGAGTTAAAAAAATCCCTTTAGATTACTAAAATTAGAAAGCCAAAAAGATAGCAGATTTTGACATTTATCCAACATGCTTCACTAGGCCTGGCCTTGATCTTGAGTTCTCTTAATTTCCCCTCCAAAATATATTCCAGAAAATGTTGAAAGGTATTATCCTCTAACATCAAACTAGATTTGTTGAGGTCTGTAGATAAGTTGAGAACTTGCACTACATTTACTGGTTTAGACATTAGCATAACTTTCCAGAAAATGTTGAAAGGTATTATCCTCCAACATCAAATTAGGTTTGTTGAGGTCTGTAGATAAGTTGAGAACTTGCACCACATTTACTGGTTTAGACATTAGCATAACTTTCCAGCATCTTGATTGAGAGGACTGAGATTGGGAAGGATTTTCTAGTTGGATGATAAGCTTATTTACCATAATCTTATCAAGCAAGCAGTCACAACAAACAAATTGACTATGAAGGGGATATATAGGCTTCATATAAACCATCTTCATGGGGAAATGATTAGAAAATTTATGCTTGTTTCTCTTTTCATGTTTTTTTTTTTTTTTTCCTGTAAGTGTATAAGATATGAGTTATATACCAGGAAGAGGAATAAATTGTCCCAGTTAGAGAGATGACATGGTCCCAGTACAAGACTCGTACAACGTTAACATTCTATGCATCAAAAAAGGTGTTCCTGTTATTCCATGGAAGTCTTAAAGATAAACCTTCCTTGTTATTCATGTTAAGTTTAATGTACCCTGATAATATGTGAAAAGTCCCAAGACTCATGGAATGCGACAAATCAGGCCATTTATCCCTTTAGGACTGATGGAACACATAAAGTCAAGCCATTTAACCCTCAGGATTGTAATGACAATTCTACCAAGTCCAAAAGATGATATCTATGTCTGTATTAGACAATGCTGGATCTAGCTAGCTCCTATTCATCTATGGAAAGGTTGGTGTTAATCTTTTCTCTAGAGCTACATGATCTTTATTGTCTTTGGTGGCAAGTTTTTTGCTTTGGCATTCATTAAGAATATTTATATTTCATTTAATTGAACTATAGTTTTCGTTGTTTGGTAAATATGAAATTCGTTACAAAGGAAAAAAGTAGATGAAAGTACTAGGAGATATGAGAAATGCAATGGCATTGGACATTTGGAATGCAACCAGCATGAGCATACTTACGGATCTAATAATTTGCTATGCTTACTCTATTACTTTACCTTATTTTGTTTATAAGGATTCTGGGTTTCCTTCTCATACATTATCTATTCTAAATGTTTCATTCCAAAGTTTGTTAATACAATGGTTAATGAAACACTTGAATGTGTTGAGACCTTGTAGTTTTCCTCATGTTTCTTTAACTAAGAAAGTGATGAATATACTCTCATCACTAACTTTTGCCTTTTCTAACAGGCTATGGATTCATTTCTGTTCTATATATGTTTTCACTGGAGTTGTCTGCTATCTTCTTTATTATGTAAGTATTCTTTGTGTAAAGTTCCTTTGAAAGGCTTCTATTTTCTGTTCTATAACATGACTTGACCCATATTATTTCTGTACTTGTTTTTCTTTTGATGATGGTTAATGTGATTGGTGGGGGAAGGCTTCTTTCATCTGATGAGAGATTTGTTAGTGTGGCTAGTAAAATTATAGTAATTCTTTGATGTTTGTGGTGACATGGATATTTAATTTGTCTTACCGAGGTTCTTGTATCATTGTAAATTGGGATTTGGGATGATTATGAGGTCTGTGGCGGGTTTTTGTCTCTGTTAGATATTGGTTCTTAGGTAGTTGGAAGTTACTGTGTGTTGTTTCTTTGTTTGGTAACTTGTATCTTTTTTATTTTTTTATTTTAATGATTTTCTCTTATTGCAATAAAAAAAGTTTACTTTCCATTATATTTCTATCAACTTCTAGCTTCTACCTTGTATTTTTCCTTATTTATGCTATAGAACACCCAATTATTTTTTGGTAATTCTTCCATTACCAAAAAAACACCCAAATTACTTATTCTTATATTCCATTTCTATAAAACAGTTGTAAGGCAAGTAATGCCCTTGGAGAAGGGTGTTGGGCAGACATCTCCAAAAAAATGAATGTTGCAGAAATTTGTATGCTGAGATGGATGAATGGGAAAATCAGAAACAATAGGGTTGGAATGAAGTCATTTGAAGGAACCTGAGAGTAACTCCAATAGGGTGATAACATGAGAGAAATTAGACTAAGATGGTTTTATCACATGCATAGAAGGCCATCTACAACACCTGTAAGAAGTCATTTGTTGCAAGTTTAAGGGGCTAGAAGTGCTAGGGGCAGACCATAAAGGACATGGCTTGAAGTAGTTTTTTAATTTCTAAGAAATTATTTAAGTGCTCATAATTTAACAATGGATATGACACTAAACTGAACAGAATGACAAAACATGATTCATGTATCCAACCTCATATAGTTGAGACAAGGCTTAAATGATGATGATGATGCATCTTCCTTTTGCACATATATCTTCCCTTTGCATGTATCATGTTGGCATTCATAATATAGTGCATAAATAGTCTTTTTTTAGAGTGAACCAAAGCAAATTTGATGAACTATGAATGATAAGTTTGACTTGATGGTATATACTACTTAATTCTGCAGGAATACAAATATATTTCTTCAAAGAGGCTTGCTTACTTTTATTCGTCCAAACCTCAACCGCACCACTTCACCATTTTAGTTCGTAGTATTCCTGCATCTGCTGGGAGAAGCTTTGGCGATAGTGTTGAGAGCTTTTTTACAGAGTATCATCCTGCTACCTATCTATCAAATTTAGTGGTCCACCGAACAAAGAAACTTCAAGGTCTCATTGTAAGCATTTTCTTGGAAGTCTTACTGGTCTTTTTCCTCTTTTTTTTTTTCACATTTTTGTTTGCTAACTTGGGATAATCTCAGACTTATACTACCAATGGATAGTGTGCTGATGGAAAGGGGTTGTGCAAGGGCTAGGAGAATTATGTTACCTAGGTGCACAAAGGTTGTACAAGGGCTAGGAGAATTATGTTAACTAGGGGAATTATGTTACTAGGTGCCGGTTGGTGCACAAAGCAAAATCCACTCTAAGTTGTGCTTATTTGGTGATTTGGAAGCTAGGATAGTAGTTGAACTCATAATAATAACTAAATAGGATGAAGGGTGTTTTGAAATGACTTTTAGAGGTTGAATGATTCAAAGGGGTTTAGCTATTTATAGCTAAAGCCCTAATTTAGAGAGGTCAGAAATTACAATTTTGAAAAATTGAGAATTAGAGGAATTCTGTTACATATTTACATGCATGGTTTTAAATGTTGATATATTTCCTAACATTTCCATTTCTATAGGTGCTGACATATTATTGGAATTGACATATTTCCATATGAAAACTATTGGTGCTATGTGGAGGACAAGAGACAACAATGTTTTAGATATGTTGAGTAGCAGTTTTATTGCCTGCCTAATGGACATGGTTACTACTTTGAGGCAGCTCGAAATTCTCTTCAAACATGAAGTTACATTTTAGTTTTTATTGCATAATAAATTATTTGGTTGATCTATTAGAATCATTTTCACATTCTAAGCTTAAATTTTGCTTGAGCTCACTCTGTCATGTAGTTTTGACTCTTAAAGTTTATAGGACGACGACATTGTGATATAATATTTTACCTATCAACCTTAGTTACTTTGCTTTGTTTGATGATTTGGAGCAAGATAATAATTTAAAAGGGTCTTTCTATGTAACTTCTATTAATGCATAACATAGGAGTCTATATTTTTGCATATTTCACAATGTTTCCACTGTGTCTATAATTTTTACAACACTTCCAATGTTTCCAACATGTTTCCTATATTTGAATGAGTGATATTTCCATTGACACCAACATTTTAAACCTCGGTTTCATGGATTAATCCCTTTGTGCTGCTCAGTTCTCTTTCCAACTATAAAAAACACCAATAAACAATCTTTAAAAGAAAAATAAGAAAGGAAGAAGATAGGCCTTCGGATCACAACAGAGTTCCTACAAGTCACCTCTAGGATCCATGAAGGCAGGAACTAGTCTTATATGTAGTTTCATCACACAACTCAAGCTTACTCAGAAAAAATAATTCAATATTATCCTTTATCTCCAAGAATGTTGTTTACAACTTATGCATGGGGGGGGGGACTCTAATAGGCCAAAAAGATCAAACACTAACCTTGTGACTATAAACTGAAAGAATGACAAAAAATTGCTCCTACATAAAAACTAACAATAAAAAAGATAAAGGACACTGAGTGGACACTCTTCTATGGTTGGATCCCTAGAGACCGACAAGACAAAGTAAAGTGGTGAAAATACTTGTTGGAATTAAAGAAAAAACAAAAGAAATATAACGACTAATAATTGACTTTAAACATTTTAAGAATAGTTTCTCGAGGGGTTTTATGATCTGCATCTCTCTCTCTCTCATATGTGCATGCAGACAACCCTCACCCCTTAGCACACGATATTGTGGGCATACATCAAGAGGGAATGGTAGGGGGCCTGTCGGAATTTTTTTTTTGATCAGTAAGCACGTATTTTATTAAATTTCAGATTGTGAACAGTAATGGGACTGTTGATCCCTTTAATCACTCTATTCTATCCCTCATTACAGTGCAGCCCAAAATAGTTGTTGTCTCAATGTCCCCTGTTTTGCTAAAACATCAGCTAGCCCATTAGAACTTCTTTGGACCCATTTAAATTCAGCCTCAACCTCCTTTGCAATCTTTTCTACTTCCCTAATCACATGTTTAAATGTCCACGGGTATGGGTGCTGTTTCCTGCCCAGGAAATTACTACTTTTGAGTTCCCTTCCACTTCAACATGTCTATATCCTAACTGTTTGGCTAACTTTAACCCTTGTAGTAATGCCAAAAGTTCAGCCTTCAGTGAGTTTTTGGTGCCAATTGGTCCTGAGAACATACCCAATATCCTCCTTTCAGAATTTTTGAATACTCCTCCTCCTAAAATGCCTGGATTTCCAAAGGAGCACCCATCAAAATTCAGTTTCACTTTATTGCCTTCAGGTGGTTTCCACTCTAGCCTTACTTTATCTCTTACTCTCGATGACTGTGCTACTTTAGGCCAGGTTCTTAGAATGTCTATGACTGAGAAGGCTTGAAAGCTATCCAAGGGTTTTACCCTATAAGCTACTTTCACCTTGATGCTATCAATCGCTTCCTCTACTGTTCTGTTATTCCTCTCTTCCCATATTACTCAACAAATTGCTGCCTTTGTTGCTTTCCACACTATCATCCCTCTTTTTTTTCCTCGTCTCAAGAAGTCACGGTTGAAGAGTCCTTCCACATCTTGAGGGGAAACCCACCTGTAGCCAAAGAGAGTACTAAAGAATTCCCAAATTCGAAGCATAAAAGAATAGGATATCAATAAATGAGATAGGGTCTCACCACTTTCCATACACAAAGAGCACACGAGGAGAAAGGCAAATGTATGGCCTTCTTCTCTACAGCATATCGCAAGTGTTTACCTTACGAAGGAATATTTCCCAGCAGAAGGCTTGAATCTTCGGGGGAATATTCTTGCACCAAATTTATTTCATAGGGAAATCCCCGCCTAGGGGGTTGGGGGAAGCAAGTACTCTGAAGAAAGAAGAGCAAGAAAAGAGACCGTCTGGAGAGCCTACCCAGATTCTAGAATTTTCTAGTGAAGGGTCCAAGCGGATTTGCCCTAGAAGGTCCAGCAATAGGATTAAAGATCGCACTCATTTTCTCTTAGTTCCCTTCTGAAGCCCAAGTTTTAGTTCACACCATTTGGACACGATGTTCCCAACATGGATATAGCTTCCCCCTTGAGGTTAGATAGCGCAAAGAGATAAGGAAATTGGTCTTCAAGTGGGGTTTCCCCTACCCATAGATCTTCCCATAACAGAATTTTATTACCTTGTCCCACATCGAACCGGATGGAATTGAGGAAAGTAGGGTAGATTTCATGAATTGCTTTCCAAGGAGAAGCCGAAAAATTGTGAGGGGAAATTTTTGCATCCCAACCATTTCCATCCACCCCATGAATGCTGTCAATCACTTTGTGCCATGGTCTGTTGCTCTCAAAGGGAAACCTCCAAAACCATTTACCTAGTAGAGCTGTATTCCTTAATAGGATGTTCCCAATTCCTAAGCCCTCTTGTTCCTTAGGTTTGCTAACCTGCTCCTACTTGGCCTGTTGGAAATTTTCAACACAAAATTTGGATCTTTTGAATAAAATCTTAATACCTCACATATAAATTGTGATGATTATCTTGTTGGTCATGCATAAATTGACATATCTGACTTTTAGTGTTTTAAACAACATATTATGTTTTTATCCCTTTCAGAAAGATGCAAAGATGCTATATAAAAGGCTTCTCCACTTGAGATCAAAAGATTCAAATCAACAAAAGTTAATGCGTGATGGATTCTTGGGACTGTTTGGACGTAAGGTTAACCCTATTGATCACTACGAAAAGAAGTTAGAAGATCTAGAAGAACACGTACGAATGGAGCAATCAAATCTTTCAGTGGCTGGGGAGGTATGTACCTTTTCCTTTTTTTTATATTTTTTTTTCTATCTATTTATCACACATGCAAATAAAAGAAGAGAAAAAAACCCACAAAATCTGGGATACTCAAGTTCTATAAATTCATTTGATCTTCCCCGGCTTGAGGGTTCCCTGGGATATAAATTCTTGCATATAAGAGAAATGTCAATTATATTCACCTCTGGTCCATGTTTTGTGCTATTCTCTTCATTGGTTTGTTATATCCTGACGTTGCTATTTTCATGGTCCATATCTGGCTTCCTGTTTGTGGTCAGGTCTTGACAGTAGTTTAATTGATAGATACGTATCTCCTGCTGAGGTAAATGCACTGCTTAATGGGATAATATGAGAAAGTGCAATCAAATCCTGTGCATGTCAGTCAAGATTTATGTTCTTCATAACCATGCCTGTCATTAGTGTTTTCTTGAATCGAACATGGCTTTCCATTTGATAACATGAAATGTTTCATGATATTGCCTTATAACATTCTGGAAAATGTAGTCTGATGGAACTAGAGGTACCTGCACCCTTCTGTTAGTATGGTGATACTTTCTGACTAAAATAGGAACATTCAGGATTTCAGCACTCTATGTACTTCACCATTAGACAATGTAATGCCATCTCGGTTCAGGTTTCTTCCTGGAAAGGATTGAAGAATGTTATATTTTTCATCTTTGTTAAAGAACAAAAACATATTCAGGGACCTCATCTAACAGCTTATGCTTTTAGGTTGAATGGTTTCTTGACATGGTATCAGAGCCTGTTTGATCAAGTGGTCTAGTGTTTGATCCTCATCGTCCCCATTATAATAAATTAAATTTCAGCACAAGGTATGGGTGGGTCTATGGTTGTCCATGCTTCAAGCCTGACAAGCTTTCGTTTGAGGGGGTGTGTTAGAGAATAAAAACCTATGCAGGGACCTCACCTAACAACTTAAGTGTTTAGGTTGAAAGCTTAATTGACATCCTTAAAGCAGAGATTGATTCTTTGATAGCTTTTGCTGATCTAGGTAAATTTGAGATGCGAATGTTATATCTGATAACCACTGTTGTTCTGATCCAACTTTCCAAATTAACAGGAAGTTCCAGCTGCTTTTGTGTCCTTCAAGTCCCGGTATGGTGCTGCAATTGCTTTGCACATCCAACAGTCTGACAATCCCATAGAGTGGGTTACAGAGCAGGCTCCAGAGCCTCATGATGTTTATTGGCCTTTCTTTTCTACATCATTTATGCAAAGATGGATCTCAAATCTGGTGGTCATTGTTGCATGTATTCTCCTCACGATTCTATTCCTTGTTCCAGTTGTATTTGTACAAACTCTTACCAATCTAGATCAGTTGGAGACCTTTCTGCCTTTTCTGAAAGGCATATTGACCATGTAAGTGATATTAAATATTTACCTTATTTTTGATCAAGTATGATAAAGATCCACTTTAAGTATGATGTATGAACTCACTCTAATTTGCTTCTGAATCAATAAACTTATTATTCATCAAAAAAAAAAAAGATCCACTTTAAGTTCAAAGATACAATCTATTTATGAAAAAATCTTGCCTTTTTTCTTTGGTTGTTGAATCTTCATTTCTTTTTCCTGAACTGTTGAATCTTCTTTTGCTGATGGTATTTTACTACTGTATAATGGTTGCCTTTAACTGCTCCAGATAATTATTTGAAAAGTCAAACAAGAATTGATGGTGTTTTCTTTTCATTCTGATGTTCATAACGGGCAATCAGTTGATCAAATGTGCCGTGGGTGCTTAACTGGTCTTGTATGAGATATTATAGAAGATGAAACATGTACTTGATGTCTACTGTGTGCCAAGGATACAAGTTAGAACACAAGATGCAAGCAATGGTGGGAGTGCTACCATGGGCATGCATTTTGAGACTGTTAGTTCTACCATGGGCCTGTATTTTGATACTTCACATCATCATATTATTCCTCCCAAAAGTGGAGAAATAGGTCTTGTTCTGTTTTTCTCTTTTGGTTTACCTCAACATTTTTTACCAGCCGGTTGCATTGGAAGGGGTTGCATGATTGTTCATCAAAATGTGGTAAAGTTGGTCTTAGGAAAGTCCTAAGTGATAGAGATCCTAGGTGGAAGACTCTTTTGAAGTAAGCATTTGCACTCTGCGGTTCTAAGAAAGTTTCCTGACCACAGCGACAGCTGGACAGAGAGGATTAATTAGTGTTTTAAAAGCGCACCTCAGGCATGATGACTCACAGGTGAGGCTCATTTTATGGGGTGCGCTTTACTGGCTTGTTAAATTTTGATGAATTAAACATTGAATTTGATATTTGAAAGGTTATCTTACCATATTGTAGGCTATATCCATGATGCCTAGAATTTAGACAGTTAAAGCTACGTAGGACTTAAAGGCTAAACGGTACGGCCTTTTTATGGTATAAAGAAAATAACTAACAAGATCCAGAGGTAGTGCATCCCCAATGGTCCTCAAAGATTTTCTTTCAATCTCTTCACTAGGTTGATCTACCCAAGTACAATTTCCCATTTCATGCCCAGGATTAGCAAGACAACTAGTCAAAAAGGTTATGACCTTAATGTTAATTGCATGACACTCTGACCAGTAAAGCTAATAACAGTACAGCACAGACATGGACACGAGAATCAGAACCCAACGTGTGTCTGGAAGTCTGCCTCGGCTAAGGACTTGAAGAAATGTCTAGCGAAAAGCATGAACTATTAAAACAGCCCATATTTTTACAAATTCTAACATATATACCTATGAAAAAGGTCTAGAACTTTATCTTTGTTAATAATGGTTTCTAGAAAAATGACATTTATTGTGTATATTAGCCATTCGTATATGTCAAATAAGTAGATAAAGGAAAATGTTGTCTTGACGTCCATCAAGAATCAATGGAGTGTTGAAAACTGATGTATCTGACACAAAACAGTTCATCCAGTTAGGAGTGCGGCATTGGATGATAGGCTTTTGAAAATATTTTATCTTTTTAGTTTGCATATTCATATCATCATCATCCATGCCTTAACCCAATTATATGGGGTCGACTACATGAATCCTGTTTTGCCAATCAGTTTTATTTAAAGCCGTATCCACCGTTAAATTATTAGTGCTTAAATCATCTCTTACTAGTTCTACTTCACATATTATCTTTTTTCAAAAGTGGCATGCCAACTTTTCATGTAGTGTCTCACGTCAGGCTGTAGAATAGGAACCCCTTGTCTCCTTCATGTAGCACTTCTTTATTGCACTTAGAACAGAGTGATACTCTTAACATGACCAATGGAGAATCACCATTGGTGCCTCACAAAATAGTAGGGATGCACAAGGAAGTCAATTTGTTGTATTAGGATTTCAGGGTCTGATGTGGTGTTTTGATCTCCTTCCTTTTCTTTTCCTCTCTTTGTTTTGGTTTGTGTGTTTTTTTATTCTCCTTGCGGATGGCGGAGGGGCTGGGTGGGTCTACCTGCAGTAGGTTTAGGAATTCTTTCCCTTTCCTTTCTGCTTGTAGGTGTTTCTTTTCTTTCCATGCCCTTCTCTTTCCTTGTAGTTCCTACTGTTCTCTTATAAAGCTTCTTGTTATCCAACAAATGATCAGAATGCTATTACATCCATGCTTTGAGATGCAGAAAGCCTGGCTTTGCTTGGCATCTTATTGCTTTGGATTTGAAGTTAATAATAGTATGTGTTTACAATGTTTTAAAATGTGGAGCCATTCTACTATCATAAGGCGTGAGGAATAAGCCTTCCAAACATGGATTTTATTAATAAAATTAATTAGAAATGAGATAAAATAAATAAGAAATTATAGTAGATATTCCATAAAATAGGAAAACTTGTAAAAAATTAAAAAATTTCATATTTTTCAATTTCTAATAATGATAGAACCATTGCATTGAAATATACAATTGAAATGTCATTGCGTTAAGTATCATCATATATATATAAGTATCGTTAGCCATCAATATATCACTTGCAAAGTTGCAAACTAAAATTTCAGAATTAACAATCACGTAAATTACACAACATTAATATAAATAAATATGTAATCTCATTTTCAAATGAATATAATGCATTAAAAGAAATAAAAGCTATCGGTGCCCCCACTTCTTTTTGCAACGTTTTATTATATTTTACAATAAACAAATTGATGGGTTCTCATCTTCTTTAAAATTGTTAATATATGATGGGGAACATGGTATAATGATTCCCTCACTTTTATTTATGACAATCTTTATTATAAAAAAATAGCTTAGAAGTAAGGACAAATGAGGCATATGTAAGCCTTCTTTACCGAATTATGAAGAAAACTTAGAACTGATTTAGGGGTGTCAAGAATGGTTAACCCCATCACAAAGAGCTTTTATATTAAAGGATATGTACAATTACAAGAATGCTCATAGAGGGCTGAAAGAGAAAAAAAATACAAGTACTAATAAGATACACCAAGTGCTAGAATTTCCACACTCCCCCTCAAACTAATGCGTAGACATAAGCATCATTTTGCCCACAAGAAAGAGGTGTCGAGCCCTAGTCATGGCCTTGGTGAATATGTCAACAATTTGCATGTCGATATAATCTTGATGGCACTTGTGTTATTTGGATAGAGAGGAGTAGGAGTGGGAACATAGTTGTCAAGGCGTAGGCGACAAGGCGCCCTTTGAGGCTTGCCTCGCCTAATCGCCAAGCAGTTTTGTACTATGTATTATAAAATGCTTTTTTATTCTTTATATTTTGGCATTATAATTATAAAATAGACACTATTAAACTAAAATATTCATTTTGTGTGTTTATATAGTAATTTGTTTTTATTATTTTCTTATTTGTTAGGATTTAATCAATACAAACATTGCTAAATGCTGTATTGAACCCTCAAAGACTTTAAAACCTGAACCAATAAGTAAGGAAGAACTTAAAATTTTGTCTAATCAACACATTTTCTATACTTTAACATGAACTCTATACTTTTCTTATGAAAATTATGAATAATTATTAAGGAAATATGGCTATGGTACCTGGGGAACTACCCTAGGATCTATGTTTCTATATAAAAAAATCCATCGCCTAGGTGCCCCCCCAACGCCCAGCCTCGCCTTGGCGCCTTGAAAACTATGAGTAGGAAGCTAAGTACCAAGATCCATGAAGAGAGATTGTAACCAAACAATCTCACTACAAACAAAAGACATTTCCCTATACTCACTTCAGAGGAAGACTTGGAGATTGTCTATTGTTTTTTACACTTCCAAGAGATGAGGGAATTACCTATAAAGACCCATAAAGACAAACCACTTAGCCCAATCTGCATCAACATATGCTCTCAATTGAATGGGAGAGGAGGAGAAAAGTCCCTGAGAAGTCATGCTTCTAACATAATGAATGATGGGTGAACAACAATTATATGAGGTTAAAGAGGAGCAGAAACAAACTAACTAATGACCTGAACAACATGTGAAATATTTGACCGAGTCATGGTGAGATAGATGAGAAACCCCACAAGCTGGCCATATAAGGTAGCATCTGGAAGTAATGGACCTTTAGATTTACATAACTTAACATTTCGTAAAGTTGGTTAGTTTAACAAGGTTAGAGTCATATTTATGTTGAAAACTGGAAAAATCCCGATCACTATGATGAACTTTCAGGCCCAAGAAATAGGTGAGAGAGCCCAAGTCTTTCATGTGGAAGGAATTATGAAGTAAGAACTTCAACTCATGAAAACCTTCATCATCATTCACAGTTAACAACATATTATCAACATACAACAAAAGAATAGTAATACCCTAAGATCATCTCTGAACAAAGAGAGAGTGATTAAAGGAACTCTAGCTATATCCAACAACAACATCTTAGAAGCATTCACACCATGCACGAGGAGCTTGTTTCAATCCACATAGGGATCTTTCAGGTGATAGATTAGAGAAGAATCGTTTTAGTATCCAGGAGGAGGCTTCATGTAGACTGTCTCCTTTAGCTGACCAAAAAGAAAGGCATTCTTCACATCTAACTGACAGTGACAAATGGTCCAAGATCAGACAATTGACAAGGCTAAGAGAACACAAATTGCGGTCATCTTAGCAACTAGGGAAAATGTTTCTTCATAATCAATGCCATACTCCTAACTATCCTTAGGTAACTAATTGAGCCTTGTATCGTTCAAGAGATTCATGAGATTTCAGCTTGATAATGTAAGCCCAATGGCTCCCAATGATGAAGGCATATGGAGGAGTAGGCACAAGGTCCCGAGTATCATTCTCATGAGGAGCCTTGATCTCGGCATCTGTGGCTTCTTTCTAATGAGAATTTTTTGATGGCTTGCTGGTATGAACGAGGAATACCTATAGAGGATAAAACAACAGAGAAAGAACTATGGCTTGAAGGAAAACCATAGTGATCAAGAGGTCGAGAAATACAGGTAGAACGACGAAAAGGAATGGAAGAACTAGCATCTGAAGTGGAAGTATTTGAGGGAGAAAATTGACTTACAGAAGGAGCAAGAGGATGGTGTTCTAGACCAGGTGGAAGGGGGGTCGCAGGTGGAAGGTCTAAAACACATAGCCACTTGCAAGTGAAGATGAAAAGATCTTTCACAGTAGATGGAGGAACATCCTCTATACTGGAGGTGTATGCCTCAAGCATCTCTATGCTTCAGTTCCTCTAGGCATTTTCTTAGTGCCTCACCTAGAGGTGCACCTCCAGGTGTACACTTCAGTGTCTTTTAAAACACTGGTATTAAGACACCTATATTTTAGCCTTGGAGATTTAAGATTATATTATAAGACATGTTGAGGCATTCTTATTTTTTGATAAATAGTAAGAAAATTTTATTAAACAACAGCAGAGATACAATGGTCCAGTGAGAGGTGAGAGATGAAACCTCTCCAGAAATACAACAGGTTACAACTGAGCCCAAAGTAAGTGTTCTCTAGAGACCCCTTGTTTAACTAGAAGTGTTTTCCATTCCATTAGCTGTCCTTTGCCACTGAATTCTTACATTCATGTTACTGACCAGCCCTTTGAACTTCTTTATCTCCTCTCTAAAATCCCACCTTGCTTTCTCCGGTTCCCTCAACCATCCAATCACCCCTTCAATGACATGTTGAGGCATTCTTAGTACCTTTATTAGTTGGGGTTTGATCTCACTCGATTTGGATAATCCCGACGAGCCTTTAGTTTTCTTCTCTTTTGATTTTAGATGTCTAAAAGATTTTATGTAATGGATTTGTTACCCTTTTATGGAACTTGAGAATAGAATGAATGAAGCTTTTAGTCTCTCTTCTCATTTCTTGGAACTTGGAAGCTTTTGGTCCTGCATAAATCCATATTACCCAACAGAAGAAAAGTTTGTGAAGTTCTCTAATTGCGTTGGTTATGTTTTGTAAGAAAGCATGGAACTGTTTGACACGAGAAGTTATGACTCAAAATACTAACATTAGTGATTCTCATTAATGTGCAGAACATTTGTTAGTCAAGTTATTACAGGATATCTTCCCAGTCTCATTCTTCTGTTGTTTCTGCAAACTGTTCCTCCCATCATGAAGATCTTTTCCTCCATGCAAGGATATATCTCCCATAGCCAGATAGAAATAAGTACTTGTAAGAAAGTACTTTGGTTTACCATATGGAACATTTTCTTTGCAAATGTATTATCTGGATCAGTGCTATATCAAATCAATGTTTTCCTTGAGCCCAAGAATATTCCAGAAAAGCTGGCTGTAGCCGTTCCAGCACAGGTGAATACATATTTCCAATTATCGTGTAGAACTTTTTTAATCAAGGTGGATACACAATTTATTTCAATTTATCCTGGTTAGCATGCTCTCATTTTCCTAATGTTCATGAATACTTTGTGATATTGTAGTCATGGACCTGGATTATTAGCAATGTTTCTGGAAGAAAGTGCTTAGTCTGGGGCTACAAGACTGTAGATATGCTTAGGGCCTCATAACCTGGCATTCTCCATGTTCAGAAGATTAGGAAGTAGTCAAAGGCTACTGAAGGAGTCATGTCCAAGAGACTTCTGTTCCAAGATTAGTGTGATAAGCTGTCTATTATTTAATTGGCAAAACATATGTCTGAAATAGACAAACATGCTTTTACGGGGACAGTTAAGGGATCTTGAGAATCAATCAATTGTTTGGGCTGGGGTTAGGTGTCAGTGGCCAGCCTATGTTGGGGGTTAGGCTCTTTTAGGTGGCCAGCCTGTGTCAGTTGATGCTGAATTTCAGGAAACCAGAAAAACTTGGACTTGCCTGTTCCAGCCCCAAAAGCCTTTCTAATCTCACAAAATAATCTTTGGATCTTTGTAGAAATCTTCTAAACTATGTAAGAAGGATAAATGTGGCTAATGGCTACTAATGATTTTTAACTACAAACATTCCTGAGAAGTGAAAACAAACTAAACATGAATAAGAACTATGTCCAAGGATGGTTAGTGCTACTTACGATAAACAACATGGTAAATGGATGTTTCTGGCTTTGGGTATTAAAATTTATTTTCCTGATATAAATTATCCTTTTACGAAGATTCAAGATTAATATGTATGCTATTTTGGGTGCAGGCATCATTCTTCATTACTTATGTTGTCACATCTGGCTGGACCAGTCTATCATCAGAACTATTTCGTATGATCCCTCTCATTTGGGATTTTATAAAAAGACATTGTTCAGGAAGTTATGCAGATGAGTTTGATGTTCCATCCATTCCTTATCGCTGTGAGATTCCTAGAATTCTCTTTTTTGAGCTTCTTGGCATAACATATTTCTTTCTGGCTCCATTAATTCTGCCTTTCCTCTTGGTTTATTACTGTCTTGGATACATCATCTATCGGAACCAGGTTAGTTGGATACAATTCAGTGTTTTATTTATTCATATTATAAATGTATTCCTGGTTTCACTTTGAAATGGGTGTCCATATTCGCTTCTAGGGTTAAGTACCTCTTAGTGCAAAGTTTCCATGTGACATTGTGGTGACAATTCATGCCTTGATTTTCTCCTCATACAGTGATCCTGTAATTAGTGGGTGATGTTAAATTAGTTTGGACCATCTAAATCATGATCTGGTCATTTACTAATGGTCAAGATCAAATTGAAGTGACATTTTTGAATCCACTAGTCTAAAACTAGTAAGGTAGCTGCATAAATCAAATAGAGGTTGAAGGAGACTCCTTGCTGGTAGTGGGTTGAATGGTGAATAATAATGAGGGCCCTTGGATGTACAGGCAGCAAATGAGGGAGATCAAGAGGCTAGCAAGAGAAGTTGAGGCTTCCTTTTAAGTGGGTCAATAGATTAGCAAACTCTATGGCAGATACTTTAGCAAAGCAAGGGGTGTTAAGGGAACACTTCTTTTGGGCTAGTTTGTGCACAAAAGAAAAATGGGTGGCTCCAGAAGTGACCTATGTACTGTTAACTTTAAGCTACCAATTTTTTTTGAAGAAGGTGAAGTTATAGTATCATTAAAATAGACAAAAAGCATGTAAACAAGTTTCTGTACACAGGGATTTACAATAACTGCCTATGCAGTCCACCCCCAAACCCTACTTTACAAAAAGGTTATCATAAACCAAAAATATAATTCCTATCTACAAACAGTTTGTTCACATCATGGCAAGAACATTTTCCCAAATTCTCTGGAGGTTGTTCCTGAACATTTTGTTCTTGTATTTTTACTCTTTGTTGTACTTTAGTTTCTTTTGTACACTACAGTCTGTATATTAAGGACAGATTGGTCCTTTTACCTTTTAATATAAATATCTTTTTCTTGGGTGTCGACTGACACTTTTGGCACACCCACAAATCTGCTGCTCTCTCTGTTCTACAGTTTCAGATCTGACTCTGACATAGTATTAGAGCAGGTCACAATCTGGTCTGATCTCTCTGTTCCATGCCAGTTTTCCCCTCTTAGTGAGACCTTCAACTCTCCAGCCCTTCACAAAGTCCACTGATTCTGGGCAGCAGCTTTGTACTTCAAACAAATTCCCAGTTGTAGACCATGCCTTGGAAGAAAATCTGCAACGTAGCAGCAGATGGTTGACTGATTCATTTTGCTCCTCACATAGAACACAGATGGTGGAATCCAGCAGTATACCCTTCCTTGCCAAGTTGTCACTAGCGAATATTAACCATTTTTGGATGGTTTTGGAGTTTCAACTACATTGGGGCTAGTGCCCTTGAAAGTTTAACAAATTCTCAACCCAATTTGACCCAAGTTGTATCTCTGGTTTGGGGCCCATCACAAATGAGGGCCTTTGCTTTGGCTGAGTTGACACATGCTAGATTTTTATGGTCTCTTGTTGTTCTCTTTTTCTTTTTTTTTCTTGATATTCATTATTACAGTAACAAAACATAAGGATCACCCTACAATAAGACTACCATAAGATCCATTATTGAATATAACTTAATGTAACAAACATGGAGCACAACCAATCCAATGCATACAAACTGGATGCAAATAACCATAGGAAAGAAACAGAGCCTTAGTGTTCAAGACAACAACCAGAAAATATGTATGTGCCTTGGTGTTTAGGACAGAAATCAGAAAACATGTTTAGAGAGTCCAAACCATTTATAACAAGGTGTGGGGGGAAATTGCAAATTATTTCTATTGTTAGTTGTTACTAGTATAATGGGTTTTGATTTTGTAGTCGTTTCTGTTTCTCATGCTTTGCTAGTTGATCTAGTATAGCAAGTTTTCTTCTGCCTTTTCACTTTCTTTTCATTTTGTACTTTTCTCATCAAAGAGTTGATGAGAAAGTTTTGTCCTATTTTGCATAATTCAACAATATTTTTCTTTGATACTGATTATATGATAGTCATTCGTCATTAAACACCATAGAACTTGTTAAATACACCCTGTGCTAAATGCTAATTGTAAGCAAATCTGGTATGCAGCTATTGAATGTTTATACACCCAAGTTTGAGACTGGTGGAAAGTTCTGGCCTATTGTGCATAATTCAACAATATTTTCTTTGATACTGATGCAAGCTATTGCGATTGGAATATTTGGTCTAAAGAAGCTTCCTATGGCATCAAGCTTAACTATTCCTCTTCTTATTCTCACACTTCTGTTCCATGAGTATTGTCAGAAACGTTTCTTACCCATTTTTGCTGCTTACTCTGCCGAGGTATGCTTACAAAGTAGTAATTTATCTTTTCATATGCTGACTTTATATGTGATTGGTTGTTCATATAAAGTTCTAATTGTTTTGGAAGACTATCATTTGTTAAAATGTTAATCATATGCAAAGGGATGAGCTTTTTTCCTAGTAGTTTTTATATGGGTGCAAGAAAATGCCATTAGGACTGTTCAAGAGCGCTTGTAAGCCTATCCAAACCCTTTTAGCTCCCAAGGCATGTTTGATCTCAGGGACATAGAAGGCATATCTATTAAGGGCAACACCATGTCTCAGCTAGTAATTAGTGAAATTTTGCTTCATGTGGGAGAAAATTTTCTTCCACCATATATTCCAGTAAGTATTTTCAGTTTCAAGTTAATGGAAATTACTTTGTCATCCCAAGGACATTATCTCATTTGAATATCATGAATATGACAAAAGTACTACCTCCCTCTAGACTAGAAGCTAGAAAACTGGGGACAACAAGGTTTACTGTCTTGTATGTTCTTGTCTGGAGGTTTGATGACCTAATGACATTGTCAATGGGCACAAGTGTTCCTTTCTAAGCTAAATATCTATTGTATGTTATCGAAGGTTTAATGGGCACGCTGCCCCCCCCCCCCCCAAAAAAAAAAGAACATAAGAAAAAAGATATAATTTAACTTCCACCCTTTCATAAAGATTATTCTTGTAGTGTGGTTAGATAGAAGAACGATTTCCTATAGGTGTGATAATCAAAAGCAGACTTGGCTAACTAGGGAGGCATATTCCAAGAAGAGTAGGATTGAATATTATCCTTCGGAGATTTATAACACACATTAATGTCCATTGGGGGAGGACTTCCTGATGAAAGGGATTTGAAATAAGCCTGTCCTGCCAAGCGTTGTGTTGGGAAGTATTCCTTGGAAAGATAAATAATTGCATGCTACAAAAAGGAGGCCAAACATGTGCCTTTCTCCTCGTTTGTGCTTCCTTTGCAAAGCAAATGGTGAAACTTTCTCCCATTTACTACTTTCTTGACCCTTCATACTTTATGTTTGGGAATACTTCTGCCCTTTTTGGGTGCAGGTGGGTCCCTCCTCAAGATGTGGTAAGTCTCTTTAGCTCATGTTTTCTGAGGCAGTGAAGACAAGAGGGAGAGTTATGTGGAAGGTTGTTGGAGCATCAGTGGTATGGACTATTTGGGAAGAAAGGAATGGAAGAATTTTCAATGAAATATGTAGATCCAAGAAGGATTTAATAGACACTATTAAGATCAAAGTGGCACATTGGGTAAAGACAATGGAAATTTTCCAAAATTTCTCAATGAACGATATGGTAAGAACATACATGGGATGAAGTGGCACAATTCTCTAAGGAAAAAAGATAGGCTAGTTATGGAATGGAATCTCCACCAAGCAACATGTTAAAACTGAATTTTGATGGGAGTTCTATGGGCCAATGTTTTAAAACACAGAGGTGTGATGCGAGACATTCCACCACATAGAGGTGTGAGGTGTAGTTCAGAATGTAAGAGGCGTAAGCCTCCTTAAGAGGATGGGGATGAGGAGGAAGAAGAGGAAGAAAAATATCATTTTTCTTTATTTTTAATAACAATCTTTTATATTAAGAAAAATGAAGATGCATAGCACTAGTTGAAAGGGGCCCACTTTCTTTCCCCTTGTCTTCCCTTCCCTTCCCTTTCCTTTTCTTTCTTTTTCTCTTTTTTACTTCTCTTTCTTTCTTTTTCTTCCCCTTCCCTTTATTTTCCTTTCCTTTTTTTCTTCTTTTTTCATTTTTTTGTGTCTTTTTACATGAGGTGGATGAGGCATACGCCTCTAGCACGCCTCATGAAAAAAGCGTATGGCATATTCCTCGGGGCGTTTTGGGGGAGCCTCGCCTCCAAGCATACGCCTCCCACACCTTTTAAAACACTGCTATGGGCAATCCAGGGCCGGCAGGTATTGGGGGCCTGTTTAGAGATTCCTCAAGAAGGGTGGTGGCCATGTACTCAGGACCCATTGGAGTGGAACTCTCTGAAAGCTGAATTGATGGCCTTACTACAAGGCCTAAGATTAGCAACGCAATCTGGCTTCCTCTACTTGGAAGAGGGGGATTCAAAGCTGATCATTACTTGGGTAAAATGCCTATGCTAAGTTCCTTGGATTTACAGGCATGCCTACATTTGGGTTAGAAGAACTGCAAATAGGATGGTGGATTCATTAACAAAACAAGGAGTCAATAGACTTCAGCTGTTTTGGGCACTAGTGTGAATCTTTTGTATATCAGGTGGTTGAAACATCTAAACCTGATGTTCTAAGCATCTTTCATATAATTGATAAAATCTTCTTTACTGATCAGAAAAAGAAAGGGTGCAGGTCTCTAGATTATTCCTGACATGCAAATTCTAAGTCTAGGAGATTTAAGTAACAGAACTACAGGGAGTGCTGCCTACAAAATAGTCCAAGGATATCATCAATACTTTCCTATGTTGCATAACACAGCCAAGGTTTAGTGGTTTGGTCTTTCTATGAAGAGCTGGAAGAGGGAGTGTTCTAATTCTAGAGTCACTTTAATGGTTGGAATATATACACTTTCTTGTCAGCTTTATTTAAGAATTGTTTAGAGAGCATAAGAGTTAGATATATACTTGAAGGAATAGCTTTTGTTAGTTTATTTATTTGTAGTGTTTTAAAAGCAAAAGTTGTAAAAAAAAATGCAAAGGGCTTTTTGCACCCAAGGCACAAGGCACGAAGTTGTAAAATTTCACACCATGCTCCTTTTTGAAGCAAGGTGTGAACATCAAAAAATGCAAAAGAAACTTAAAAAATAAATCAAGAAAATATTAAAAACAGTACTAATTAAAAAATGTAAACTTTAATTTTAAAATAAATGTTTTAAAAAGCTTATTATCTCAATTGAAATTCATAAACATAAATGCAAAAAATAAATCAAACTTAACATATAAAACATATTCAAACACTCGATAATTCTTTTCAAGCTTTTGGCTAATGTGATGTTAAACATCTTTCGTTCCTAATTCTACAAGTATTTTTTGTACCAATCCCCTCGAGACAAGCCCAAACAAGTCTATGTTAGGGTCTTAACTAAGGTGTGCACCTTAGCTAAGGCACAAGATGCACCCTGCACCAACATATGTAACTTGACATGTGGCTTGTGGGCCTAGGTGCACTTTTTAAATCACTGTTTATTTGTTCATTTGTGTCTTTTATTTCCTATTTATTTATTTTTTGGTAAGGGTGGTGGAGGTGGCTGGTTATTTCCCAACAAGATCCATTTGAAGGTAGGTGTCTGTTCCCTTCAAGAGTTGCTTTCCTTGGAGTCCGCATCTGATACCCACACTACCCACAAGACTCTACAACTACACATTGGGAATCAGTCCCCATAATTGATATACAAGTACGATATATATCCCAATGTGTGGCTGTAGTTTCTTTTGGGTGGAGTGTGGGTAGCAGATCCAGTCACCTTTCCTTGTGAACATGTGCCTTAAGGCCCTCAACAGAGTGAAGATTTGTTGGTTCATCTATTGCTGCATTAAAGGATTATCAAACCAGATTGTCCCTTTAATTACCAGTATGATAGGATCATATTAGAACGTTTGAAACCCTCTTGGTATTTTGTTCTGTGTCTTAATTAGATTATTAGAAGATTCATATTATTGGAATATCTTAAGACTGTTCAGTCAGATAGGGTCTTGGGGATTTTGAGTAGCGACTAGGGTTGGTGTGGGTCCTATCTAGATGGTGATTGTGCTTAAAATTGCTACTTATTTTTTGATGGTGGATGGCTCACCTCAAGGAATAGAACTTGAAACCCAAAACATGCTGTTGAGAGAAGTGGACTCTTTCCCCTATAGTGGGTCTACACTTATTTGTACCATTTTGTTTCAAGGTTTAGTTCTACTAAGTTTGAGCAATTCGAAGTGATAGTGCATAGGGCTGTCAATGGACCAGATTTGGGCTGGAGGAGTGAGGGTGCTGTGATTTGATGCCTCAGCCAGAGCAAACGAGAGGCTGCTGCTTCATTGCCTTGTACCCACATTTGCCATTCCACATACACAGGGGTGTAACGAATATTTTTTTGACCACGACTACTTGCATGATCGCATCAACTACTGAACTGTGAATCCTTAAGCAAACCAGAATAATCCTACTGACTGATGAAGACTTTCCAATGGACACCAAAAAAATAAAGTGATTCACGGAAAACCAGTTTGAATTTGATACGTCATTTTTATATGATACATGTCATCCTTGGGTAAATGTCCTTCCAAGTTGCAAGAATCAAGTGCACATGGACTGATCCTTGCTTCCTTAATCAATAAAATTAGCAATGGTTAGTGTAATTGTTGGAGAGTGTTGTAAAATGATATCAGACGTGAGAAAACAGAGGAAGAAGACTCTGATCTTTTATTAAGATAGATGGCAAATATATATATATACAAAATAACTGACTTAGACAAGTGGGCCAATTTGGCCAGCTGTCAAGTGATTGAGTGATTGAGGTCCAGCTGTCGGGTGGTTGTTAAATTGCAAGAAGCTTTTTGTTACGACTGTTATAACAACAGTCTTGTATATGCTTACACCCCCCCTTCAAGTTGGCGCATGAAGAACTTGAATGCCCAACTTGGGCACTAGATGATGGAACTTGTCGGATCCAAGAGCCCTTGTAAAGAGGTCAGCTGGTTGAGAGCTGCTAGGCAGATGGAAGGTCTTTATTTCACCACTTTGGACATGTTTGCGTACAAAGTGACAGTTGATGTTGATGTGTTTAGTACGCTCGTGGAACACGGGATTAGCAGCTATGTGAAGTGCCGCCTTGCTGTCACAATGTAATTGCATAACGGGGATGTTGATGGTTAAGTCATGAAGAACTCTTTTCAGCCATAAGAGTTCAGCAGTGGTGGTGGCCATGGCACGATATTCAGCTTCAATGGAGGACTGAGAAACAATAGTTTGCTTTTTAGTCTTCCATGAGAGTGGCAAAGATCCATCAACAAAACAGAA